ACCTCCCCCTCTTTAATTGTTGGATCTGGAAATGAAAGCTTCTGCATCAGCTTTCCCCCCTTGCGTTCATACCGCACAATAGATGCCAGGTGAAAAAAGCAGTCTGTAATTAGTAGCTCTGCTGATTAAACTAGGTAGGAATCCATTGGCTGCCAGAGCTACTGGCCTAGCAAGGCTTACCATCACAAACGTCATCCCCTAGTTTCACACGAGGTTAGAATAAGGCTCTTGGGATGCTTGTGGGGGGGCCGACTTGTTGTGTAAGTTAGAGTGAAGTTACATGTTACATTTAACTCATATTAAATCTGTGGTGTTAAAGTTAAAATGTGCGACGAGCACTGGCTTGCTAATACCATTTGTGGCCTGCACTGGTTTTGACTTGCCACTGGTGAGCAAGGGTGTGGCTAGGACATGTGGGGTCTATCTCTGCTGTAACTGCAATGTGCTAGACTAAATACCAGCATTAAATTTAAAGTGATTTGCTAGACTAAAATTTAAATTAAAATTAAACTGATTTGCTAGACTAAATACCAGCATTAAATTAAAAAAAAACCCTTAACAAGCCAAGCAAGAAATAGTCAAAATAGTCAAAAGATGTTGTATCATTAGTCCTGTAGTGATTACAGTTACATGCACATCTCCTATTCAGATCTGTAAAACAAAGCTGAGTCTTGCTGTGCATCTTGGTGCAGTGCCTTCGACTATTTCTACACCTCAGTTAAAGCTTTTAGGTAGAACTTTAGCTGTGAAATAGAGGGGAGATGGGACTAGGAATGGCTAGCAGAGAGCAACATTGCAGAAGAAAGGGTAGTTTGAGTAGCCAAACCTCAAGACTCTTAAAAGAAGAGAGGATTGTTAACACCAACAGAGTGGAGAGAGATTAGCAGGAATCAAGGAGAGGAGAATGAGCCATGAAGTCAATTGACTCTATCAGCGCTGCCTGAATGGAAATACTGTTGCTTCTCCCAGGTAGTTGGTTTTAAAGTTTTGGTGAAGCAGGAATCAAAGAGGGGTGCAACTGCACCCCTGCCCTCCGTCCTCCTGGATCTGCTTCTGCCAGTGTGCACTACAGCAGGTCTGGCTCCATGTGAGTGTGCAGCCAGGATGCTCAATGCATCTTGTAAATCAGAGCTGATGCCTAAGGTGAGCAACCAGAGTGGTTGTCTAATGCCCCAACCTGTGTCCCAGGGCATACCAATAAGCTAGGTGAGCTCAGATCCAATGTGAAGGCACCATCTAAGAGGCTTTACCCAAGACTGTTGGAAATCCAGTGTTAGTCTTATTCTTAACCAAGCTAAATGTCGCTTGTCTCCACCCTTGAGACCTTGGTTTAATAGGTTTCCCTACTGTGGCTGCACACAGAAGACAGGCCCTGAGTTCAGCAGCTGGAAATCCAACAGATCTCTTTATGCACTCATCATCCAGAAGAGACAGATGAACCTACGCCCCCTCCCCTCAAAAGTCAGCCTTGGTCACCAAAGAAATTCCTAGCAAGGGTGCAAAATTAAGTGACTTCCTCCTACTATTGTATTTTTACTTACTAAGTACTTTCTGCATTTGAGCTGAGCACCAAGTTTTTCTCAACTAAGCAAGTAGAGCAACATCCTCCTGGTAACCTCTCTCTTCCCTAAGGAGAGACCATGCATTTGTATCATGGAGCTCTCCAGATAGCTGTTTCAGCCTGAAGTTGCACATCTGGCTGTAGTGCCTCCAAGTCTTTAAGTCTGGGACTACCAGGATTTCTGGAATACACACTAAAATAAAACTCTGGATAGCTCCCCACCCTCCAGCTGGGGCAGTGAAGGTATTAGTGACCCCATCCTCCTTCACAGATGAGGTCTCCACTGGGGTGTACTGCTCAATGTTGCAACCTATGCAGCCCATCCGTGGCAAGAAAGAGGTTTCCAACCACTATAACTAAGATCATTACATTGCTGGGGAGAAGGTGATCAGAGAACATAACAACATAAGGTCATCGATTTGGCCATTAATGGAGGATACGCAAGGAAACACCATTTCCTTACGATTCTTGACAGGCAGAAGGGACCATGCCTAAAGAAAAAATATTGGGATAAAGCTGGCAAAGGATTTGATAGGACTGAAAGTGTGGGTCTAGCTTAAGTCCCAGGCATGAACTTTCTTCCAGGTCCCAAGGCTTTGCTTTACCCCACTGTGCTGGCTGAGGGGTGGTGGATATGGCTTGGGAAATAAAATGCCTTGTGAGATCTTCCTGGATATGTCTCTTGATCAGGTAATCTGATGGCTTTCAGGAGTAAACACACCAGGATCCAGATCTGACTCTAGATGGGCAAGTAGCAATTACGTGGGTAACTTCATTCATAGATTCATAGATTCATAGATTAAGGGTCG